CCAAAAACCATAGCCGATAACCGAGAGCCGAGCGCCGGTTTCTGAAACCCGAACGCTGGATGGCTTGGTTTTTGGTTTGGGCGAACACCAAGTGTTTTTAATGACTTAAACAAGTTTGAAAAACATTTTTATGATGTAAGAAGTGCAGTGAAAGGTTTTAGCCTAAAGAGCCAATGCGTGAGGGTTGGGTCGGTCTTGATTACAATTATGACCGACTCAACAATACTAAAGACTGCGGTCTTCGTTCTTGGTCTCTTTTAGCTCTTGTTCTTTATCTTCGTTCTTCGCCTTGTATATTCAATGTTTGTCTTGATCACGGCGGTTTGGCATTATCAAAACCTGTTACAAAAAAACAAACACGGCTTTAGTACGAAAACGTGACATGCCCGTGTTTCAACAATGGTGAGTTGTTGAATTTGTGCCGTTAAGGTAGTCAAGGACTCAAGGTGGTGGCGATGGTGGTTTGCCTTTCTTTGGTCTCCGTGTGCTCCGCTTGAAGTTGATGCAGTTGTTCTTCAAGTGCGCGATAGCGAGTGGCCATTCCTTCGGACGTTATCTCTCAATGAGAGCACCAAATTGTTACGAACTTTTACCGCTATATGAGGGCGGCACCTCTAGACAAGAATTATATGAGAGGGTGGGATAGACACTAGATGAGATACAAGGAAAGATATATTTTACTTACTTTGTATAAACCATCATACAATCATATATAACCAAGGGGTGCATGCAAACTTCCCCACGTAATACATGGTGGGTAGTTAGTACCACACTACACCCATGATCTCACCCTATATGACCACACAAATAATAATAATACTAATAATAATAATAATAATAATAATAATCATAATAATCATAATAATAATAATAATAATAATAATAATAACAGCATGCAACACGTTCTACAAAATAACAACAATAATTATGAATAATATTTGCATGAGTGATGCTCATGCACGTAGGTCTCTCTAGCCCAAAATGTAATCCTCCAAACGGGCTGGCGCTTTACGAGCTCTCCGCCCTCGTCCCAACTCGGGCGTAACAGGGATAGAAATGTGGATATGGAATATGGAAGGTGAGTGGGGGCACGTGGATGTAGATAAGAATATGGAAAAGGGGTAATTTTGTCCAAAAGAAGAAAAAGAAGGAATATCGTAATCAAATTTGGGACAAGAAGAAGAGGGAATATTGTAATCAAAATAGGGACGGAGGGAGTACAATTTTGACCCGTGCCGGCGTGGGGTCGAACGATTTTTTTGTCAGATTTTTAATCCAATATTTTTCTGGAATAAATATAATATATTTCCCACATATTTTTAATGCTATAGACAAAAAAGGAAAAGCACTTAACCTAGTTTGTTTTAATACAAAATTTTCTAAAAAAATCTCAGGTGTACAACATTTTTGGTATAGTTGAAAGAGTTTTCCTTGTCATCTAGAATAAATATTTTTAATCTTGCCTTTGTGTACACTCATAAAATAGCAGCATATAGCTGACTATAAGTGAACACCGACTTGGTTAAAAATAATCTAACAAATTACAATATTTGACCTTGACTTTTGTTGATAATCGTCGCATAATATAAGACCATTTGGAATTGTCTTATTTGGAGCTTTAGGGATAGTCTTTGATCGGATGGTACCAAATTTATCAGAGGTATGTAAACCTTTTCCCCGACTCGATTTCCCAAAACCACAATAACACTGATAATTTTCTCTCCCCCTTCTTTTAAAACTATTTTATGGTTTGGGATCCCCAAAAATTTGATTTTATTCAAAAATTGAACTGTTATTCAAATGTCATCAACACTTACATCTGAATCTACCTGACATGAAGAATAAAAACTCATGTACACTATTTCATCTTCAAGAATGAGGGATCACTATAAAAAAGAGGGCAATACCGACAGACCCTTAGGGACAGAAACTTTATTTGTCGCTAAAAAGAGAATATTACTAACAGATAAAATTATTTGAAGGCAAAAATTATTTGACCCACAGAAAGAGTAATATTTGTTGTTATTGATTATAGTTTTAGCAACAAACTTATATCTGTCGGTATTGCTTATAGTCTTAGATACAAAACATCATCTGTCAGTATTGTTTATAGTATTAACAACGAAAATTTATCTGTCATTATTGTTTATGGTATTAGCAACAAAAACTTATCTGTCAGTATTGTATATAGTTTTAGCAACAACATTTTATCTGTCAGTATTGATTTTATTGATATTTAATTTAAATATCTTAATTATAAAAAACCATAAAACTAGGCATCACTTAGTATACAAAATTGAGGTCATGAGATTGGAAATGAAAAACCTCAATTTGAATTTTGTTATTTTATCGCACAAAATCATATGATATTAAAAATGAATTATAAATTTAAAAGATAAAAAACTAAAAATAAAAGATTAAAAATTTATAAGTTAAAATTTAAAGACTAAACGGACGGAATAGAATCAAGACATTTGATAAAAGAACAAATCAACAAATAAAAAATGAGAGGGATGAAAAGACACTAGTGGAGATATGTATAGATTTTTAACCATTTCCAATGCGGTTAAAAGATATGTCGGTCAACCGTAAATCGAAAACCAAAAATCAGGGGATTGACCGTGAAGCCGGAAACCAAAAATCGAAGTAGCTGCCATACCAAGTCTACATAAAATGCTCACAAGCAGGAAAATTATAGCTAAAAAACTTTAAACAAGTAGGAAAAAGACCCAAAAAAGACAAAATTGCAAAATTAATGGTCTAAAAAGCAGGATTATGGGGGACAGAGGGAGTAGTATATATCTTTAATTTTGGGGACACTCTTTGGTGTAAGTGTAGCTTGGTTGTATCCTTAGTAGACCTGACAAAACAAAACCGGAACCGATTACCCGAACCGAAATATCCGAAACTGAAACCGAAATGATCCGAAAAATGAAGATCCGATATATAACCAAAAACCCGAAATGATCCGAATCGATCCGAAACCGAACTAAATAATTCATATCCGATTTAAATCCGAAACCGATTAGATCCGAAACCGATAATATCCGAACCGATTAAACCCGGAACCGATTAGATCCGAAACCGATAATACTCGAAACCGGTAAAACCCGAAACCGACTTGATCCGAAACCGATAATATCCGAACCCGGTTAGAACTAAAACCGATAAATTCAAAAATGTGTTTTCCTTTTACTAAGCATATTATATTTTTAAAATTTTACTTTTATTTTACCACTTGAACTAATTACATTATTTGCTCATTCCCTCATAAATGGATTATATGATGAATTGTATGGAATAACTAGATTTTAACCTAATTTCATCCAATTACAATAAATTTTATTGGTTTGAGAGTTAATTTGATTAGTTTCAAACCAATTCACACAATATTAGTCAATAGCATTAGATGTTAGTATTAACATTTTGAAAAGACTCTCTAGCGGCAGCATTTAGTGTTATCATTTTCAAATTTGATCTACACCATTACATTTAGGTGTAAAATTAAGTATATTTGACTCTATTAAATTTAATTTTATCTAATGTCAACCAAATACACTCAAATAATTTATAAATTTTGCACTCAATTGAATAAAATTTACTTAGTTTCACCCAATTTCATTCAATTTTTACCAAATTGTATTCAAATGGAACATAACACTATATGAATTTATCTTTTATCTTTTCATTTATAAACATAAATATATTAATAGATCTGAGAAAAATTTGATATATCAATTATCAAACCTAAATTTTAAAATCAATTTAATTATATTAAATTTATATCATAATTAAATATATACTTTTTCATAATTTGTAGTCCAAATTTGTAAAAATATGACTAAAGAGTCAAAAAGGGAAGATTATTTAGGGTAGAGATAATATAATTAGAAAAAAATATAAAATAATATGAGGTATTCAATTGATGATAGATTGATAAGTGTGATAAAACACAAAAAGAAACATGGATAATTTAATTTTAATTAGAAAATAATATATATCCAAAATATACTTGATCTGGAATCGAAATATACCCGAACCGAACTAGATCCGAAACCGAAATATATCCGATTCAAACGGTATCCGAACCGAAATCTATCCAAACCGATTTATTACTGAACCGTATCTGAACCGACTCGAAACCGAACTGAAAAATGTGTAGAACCGAATCAAATCCAAACCGAAATTAAACCGAACTGAACCAAACCGATTAGAACATATATCCGAAAGATATCCGAACCGAAAAAATCCAACCCGAAACCGATCGGTTGACTAGATTGCCCCTTCTAATCCTTAGAAAGGAACGAAGAAAAAGAAGAAGCAAGATTGAAGATCTTCAACACGAGCAAACACGTGCAGCAGATCGGAGGAGTAGCAGCGGAGAAAATCGCAGCTCCCTGGAGAGCTTCCTACTTGGAGCAAATCGCAGAGGGCCGAAGCTTAGGCTCCAACTCCAGTTTAATTCTTCTTCCTTTTCTCTTCTCATTAATGCTATTAGTTCATTTCTTATGCAAAATTTTATTAGTCCTCCGTATTATGCTACGTTAAACTCCATAGCTGGGGCAAGGATCAGAATTATCTATTCACCTATTTTGATTTATATTTATGATTTGATTTATCCCATAATATCGTTCTTGAATTTTTTAAACTTATTTTTCCTATTGACTATTCGGATGATTTCTTAGATGAGTTTAATCATGTTCTTCTCATGTTTTTGTGATAAATTATTTAGAGCTTAATTGTAATATTCTCCATGATCACGGGTATGGGTTGCAATCTGTAGGTTCTGGTCTTCTGGGAAAAAATTGATGAATTATAATTGAGTTAGAGTTGTATATATGGTTTCAAATTCCTGGATCCACATCCAGTGGTTAACTGGTTTGATGTGGTTTTGCTCCACCATTTCTGCTTTTCAGGAATCATCATGATATGTTCGTTGCTCACCACTGGCCTTGTGCATGCCTTCTCATAAGCTGTAACAAGTCTGGTTCTTACAGTTGTCTAAGCTCTAATTCTCTTCACTATTCTTCATGCAGGATGGTATTTGGTTATGCATATCTAGCAGCAACAACAGTGATGAGGGTGGAGTGATATGTGATACAGAGGGACTTTGCACCCAAGGCTTGGCTACGAAGAGAATCTTCTATTATTTTTCAAGAGTTCCTCTGGGTATCATTTCCCTCATTACAATATAATGGCTAAACCACATCCATCTTTTTTCACAAATGTATTCCTTCGTCAAAATCCTAAATCCATCCAAAACTCTAGCCCTAACTCCTCAATCCGGGATCGCAATTTTAGCATATTAGGAGAGAGTGTGGGTAGCGAAGGTTCTATTTTATCGAATCTGGATGATAAAAGAGATGATAAGCAGCAGCACTTAATTGAGATAGCAAATGACGTTTCAAGAATAATACGCACACGGCCGAGATGGGAACAGACTCTTATGTTTGATTTTCCGGGCGTGAATTTCTCTGATCAAAATTTGTGCTGTGAGATTTTAAAGCAACAGAAGAATGTGATTATGGCACTTCGATTTTATCATTGGGTTAGCACGAGGAGCGGGTTTTCACCTGATCCAGTTTCCTCTGATGTGGTTTTCCGTGGGCTTGTGAGAGCCAAGGCTGGGAGCCTGGCAAAGAGTTTTCTTGAGAACACAAAGTTTGTGCCAAAGCCTAGTTCTTTGGAGCCATACATTGAGTGTCTTTGTTATAACGGGTTGATTGAGGAAGCTCTAGCAGTTATTGATGAACTGAAGGGAGTTGGATACTGTTTGGCATTGAGTACATGGAATTCAGCCCTGTTTGGCTCAATCAAAGCTGGAAAGTCTGGAACAGTTTGGAAATTGTATGAGGATATGATGGGATGTGGGGTTACTGGAGACGCGGATACTATTGGATATTTAATTTATGCACTTTCCATGGATAACAATCATTCAAAAGGCTATGAGCTTATGGGGCAACTATTAGATACTGGGCATGCCCCTAAGAATGTTGTGTTCAACAAATTGATTTACGAGTCCTGCAAAAGTAAGGAGTTCTATAGAATGACAGGTCTTCTCTTTTCCATGACTGATAAAAATTGTTCACCTGATATATATACTTATCAAGAACTTATCCATGGGGTGCGTGATAGCAAGTGCAGAGATGGTCTTGAAGTTTTTCGGATTTTTGAGTATATAAAGAAGAGGGGATATGCTCCGGATATGGTCATGTATTCAACAGTGATTCACAGCCTTGTGAAGAGCAAAATGCTGGGCAAAGCTAAAAAGGTATGGGTTGAGATGATACAGAAGGGATTTGTTCCAAACAAGTATACATATAATGCACTGATGTATGGGTATTTGAAATCAGGTAATATAAACGAGGCAGAAAGGTTGTGCAAGGAAATGTTTGATAAAGGATATGTTGATTCCACTTTAACATACAATATTCTGATTAGTGGTTTTTGTGCAAATGGGATGTTTATGAAAGCTTATAGGTTGTTCCAACATATGGTTAAAGAAGGTATTGCTCGGGATTACATTACGTTCAATTCCCTAATTAAGGGATTATCATCTGAAGGCTGTTGCAAGGCAGTCTATGGTCTGAATATTTTTTTTGATATTCTCGAGCATGGGTTGAAGCCACCAACTACGTTGTATGGTTTTTTAGTCAAGAAACTTTTTGAGGAAGGACATGCCAACGAAGCAAAATGGCTTCTTAAGGCTAGGAAGGCGCATCAACCTCTGGATGCACAATCAGAACTAGGCCACATTGGCTTGGCAAGGCTAAGAGAAGTTTTCCAACAGGACCATGGTGGTTTGACAAGCTAAGACAACTCTAGCCCTAGTGGTTTGACAAGCTAAGACAACTCTAGCCCTGGTGGTTTGACAAACTCTCTGTATGTACTTTAGTTCCTAATCTCTCCTCGAGTGTTAATGTGCATCTATTTTATGCTCTATTAGTCTATTACATCTCCCACCGACCGTACAACCTCTTAATTCTTTCTTAATGTTCTGGCATTTAGGTTATGTTTGGATCTCCTAATATGCTAGGATTAAAAAAAAGTAATTCTTGTATTACTTGTTTTCGTCGTCACTCAATTCATCCAACACACTAAAAGTAGCCAGTCTTTGGTGTAGAACTGTATAAGATGGTGGAAAAATAAAAAAATAAAGTCCATCAAATGGGTTCTTAGTGTGAATTGATTTGCCAATTTTTGTATCAAGTTTCTATGACACAGTGTCTTGAACCTATTTAGTGCAATGTGGATGTGATTAGATAAGAGTGGAAGTTATAGGAAGCTTACATCACTCCAACTCCAGATTTACACCATGTAAGCTAAAGTTGTAACTGGTGTTATGCATATGCAAGTGCTAGCCAGTGGTGTACCCAGAAATTCTTTTCAAGGGGGGCACAATATACATAACCATATACTCTGTAACTAAAAGGCACCTATATGATAAATAATCCCTCTGTCCCAAAACTTAACCTTCTTTTCATTTCTCCAAATTATCTCCAAATTCATTTAAGGAAGGATTTGTGTGGTTTATATTGTTTGTATCCTCTTAAAAATTAAAATGAAATACAACAACACAATTTCATTTTTCTTATTAAGTGTGTCGAGTCAAAGTGACAAAGTTGGAAGAAAATTTTGGACAAGAGGGAGTAATTATACAAACTTGAAGTATTTACCAATTTTCTCCGTGCAGGGCTGCCTGCGTGTACAATTCAATTTTGTTCACTGAAGTCGTATTTAATTATCCGATGCAACTTTTTTACTTGGTTCACTGAAACACAACAGAAAGATATTGCTGATTGGTTCAGTGATGAGGTAGGTTCCATATGTGAAGCCAATTTTCTTCTAGTTTCATTCATACATTTGTTTCCATTTGCTTGAGAAGTTTCTATTTAATGAACGGTGATACAGATTTGGAATAATTTGCCTTTCACAACTTGAATGACAGGTTGCAAATATTATCAAGGAAGACCTGTGGCCCAACCCTTTGAAATACTTCAACAATGTGAAGTTTTGAACCTTTAAGCACCCACTGTCTAATTGTTATCTTCCCATTTATTCGAGCTAGTAACAGCAACAATGTACATTATCTTTGTGCAGGAAGCCAATGAGGAAGATTCCAACGGAGATGAGGACGACAACAAAGTAAGTATAGATTAAAAACTCGGTAGTCCTTTAACGCCCACGGTGAAATTGGTTATGTGAAGGCTGCTAAAGCTGTCATGTTTTAGAACTTACCATACTATTGTCACACCATAGATGACACGGAGGTCAACATCACAGACAATAATTTGATATTGTGCCTGAATCCTGATTGTCTTTAATTGTGTCATCCTGGTGTCATCTCTGGGGTTAAAGTAGCATTTTAGCTTGTTATGCTGCTATGTATAACAACACGTTGATATTTGTGAAGCAGGGAAAGGAGGAAGACGATGAGGGGGAAGCGGACTTCGTTCTTACCATTGCTTTGATAATTTCGATGTCGTGACTCAACTGTTAGTGAGTGTTATTGTTGACTCCTTCGAACTCTAATCAATCATAGCTAGGGAGATTATTGTCAATGTGGATGCTTGAAGCCGTCTTTGGGTACTTCTGTAGTCACCTTGTCTATGTAAGTTTTGTTAAGGTGAGGTGTTTGTGATTTCATGTTGTGAATTTTTCTCACATCTCATTAAAGAAAGCACACTTCTAAAGCTAAACAATCAATAGACAACTTCATCACGAAAATTAGGGTAAATTTCACCCATGGTATACGAACTTTCATCATTATTTCACTTCGGTATATAAACTTTAATTCCTATCACAAAAGTACACGAACTTTCAACATTCTTTCACCGGCGGTCCAATCCCACCCAGCCTCCCACCCCCCACGCTCCTCCTCCTCCTCCTCCTCCTCCTCAAATGAATGGGCAAATAAACAATACTTTATTAAAACATCAAATTCTAAAATAAGAAATTAATGAATGGGCAAATTACAGAAAATGTAAAAATAAATAATACAGCAGTAATTTAATATAGTAGTACGGAGCAATAATTAAAAAATGGGACTAAATAAATAAATAAATTTGTAAGGGGTATTGTGGGGGGGGGGGGGGGGGGGGGGNGGGAAGGGTGGGGTCAAAATAAAAAATTTAAATTTATAAAATTATGATTTGACTCCAAATGACCTGAAGGTGACTTAGAAATCGCCTATTGAACCACCGGTGAAAGAATGTTGAAAGTTTGCTTACTTTTGTGATAGGAATTAAAGTTTATATACCGAAGTGAAATAATGATGAAAGTTCGTATACCATGAGTGAAATTTACCCCGAAAATTATGTCAGACGTTTACAAAAGTTAAATAGGTCACCATTTTAGCAAATTATGCGTCTTTTTCGCCATATGCCCAAAAACAAAGACATCTTTTCAAAACGTAATTGTTCTTCAACTCTTCATACGCACATTTTAATGCCACACTAGCCAATCCAATGATGATGTTACCGTAATACCATTCAAGAGTCTAGTTTTTGAGTTTGGATAAGTTCATGACGAGCTTTATTAGTCCGGAAATAATCTTCTTATTTATTATTCATTTGATAACACAATATTTTTGTTATTACCTGTAAAAAAATTAGTTTTTAAAATTACACGCTTTACGAAGTATTAATTTTTTTAAACACTAATAACTTTATTACGGTGTACAAGATATTATTGGATCATATAATCAATAAATTGAATTAAAATTAATTTTAATCAAACATTATAAATTAAAACGAGAAGAAAACTTTATGACGAAGGGAGTTTAAATTACTCCAATATGATGCATATAAACATAATATAATGCATATAAATATAGAGAAATTCTAAATTGATCCACTTTTATTGGTGTCAATTGTCTACACTAGTTTAATTAAGGCATCTACGACATTTTATTTTTAAAATTGATGCTTCTTCTTACCTCCTAACTCTTTTCCTAAACCCTCCACCTTAGCCCCTAGCTCCCTGGCAGTAGGAGGGACGAGATTGGGGTGGTGGCAGGGGTGGTGGGGTTGGGATGGGAGTTAGGAGATATAAACTATCAATTTTATTAACTATGCAACATATGCACTCCAATTGAACTGGTATAAGAAATTCCCCCTCATAAGTAAATCTTTAAATGTAAATATTTTAATAAAATTGTTCCTTCCATCCTAAAATAAGTTTTGAACCGAGTACCTAGCTGGTAATATGTTGTGAGGAACTTGTTGTCGAAAAGAGTGGTAAACAGCATGAACATGAACACAAGGTATACTATCGAAAGTCCACTGCCCACAAGTGCATACACTACTAAACAAATTGACCAAGTAGCTGTAAATAGAAGAAGAATATGTTCGAGATGTGTGAGTCACTACGTATTGGTTGTTACCGTAGCTTGAGACTATCCACTTGTGCTTAGTTTTCTCCCGATTAAGGAGAACATTTTTAATTTTCGGAGTAATGTGCATGCTCTGTTCTTGCCACTGAATACCAAGCTTGTACCTTTTAGTAAACAATTCAACCATCTTGGCATAGGACATGGATAAAATGGCAGTGACAGGTAACATTCGACAACCTTTCAGCATATTGTTGAAACTCTCAGAATTATTTGTCGTTAAGATACCACACCTAAACCCACCATCAAAACAAAGGGTCCGGGAACTATTTGTCAGAACCTCTGCAGCAACCGCTCCGGGAACTTTACCGAGTCGACACTCCGCTTTCTTTAATGTATTCACCTGCGAAAAAAAATTAGTTAGTGAAGTATTTATTTTATTATAAGTAAATATTTATAATTTCTAAATTACCAAGAATGCAAGTTTGGCAGAAGTATTTTCAGATCCCTCTAGAGGTCGATGATAGGGGTTTGCAATAATACGCCGACCGTACGTTGCAAACCAGTGAGCATACTCCACGGTAATTTGGAATGGATTTTCTCCTACTACGGGCTCCATTTGATGAAAAACGGTAAGGGCGAAGCGATTATCCCTCCATTGCGCTACGCATGCTTGTACCGAATGGGTTGATTTACATCCCTTGGGTTTATGATAGGCCTCCGTATACGGATGGGTAAGATCAGGAATGGTTTGCAACATCCCAAACTGTCGTGTGAATCGCATAGGCATGACAGGCTCAATAATCGAACGATAAATAACATAGCCTTGGAAAGTCCATAGCTGAGGAGTACGATGACAATAAGCAGGCAACTGATCAATGTCGTACGGTTGCCAGACAACCTGTATATTGTTCACATTTATTAGTCAATGCATGATCTATTTTTTACAATTTATTTTATGAATATTAATCTTACGTTTCGGAACTACAAGGAGTCAAGTTGATTCCTAAAGTAGCGTACATTTTGCTTAGCAGAGGCACTGTACATCTTGGTCTGTCTCCACATGAATAATAATAAATGTATCGGAACTTGATATAAAATAAGAGAAAAAAAATTATAACCTCGATAAATTAAATTAATGTAAATGAATACCGTGCACCAAATGGGTCGTCTTCGCGAGGAGGCCCGTGTGGATTGTTCGGAACATTATTCACTATGGGTCTTATGGTCAAAATCCGAGTCCACGCCCATAATTGCAATAGAAGAAGACAACCCCCGGGACGTGTTTGCGAGTTAGTCTTCAACGCAGCCTTACAGAGCGAAAAATTTAATCGCGCTAAAACTGAGCCCCAACTAAAAGTAGATGTCTCATTAAAATCTCGTAGGTATCTCACGAAATCAATTGGTGCGTACATACCCGAAGAATCTGGAAATAATAAACCACCCATATATGCATATATGAGCCTAGCGGTATATTGAGCCACCATCTGATCAGGTCATTCATTATTTGATTGAATGGTTTGTTCCTCAAAAAAAGGGCAATCTTGAATTGGTCAAAACGACAAAAATGGGTGTCGTCGGTGGTCCACATCAAAACATCTCTAAATAAGACATTTCGTTGCTCAATATTTAAATCAAAGCCCATGACGGGTAGTCCATCAATCGGAAGTCCTAGTAAGCATTCCACGTCCTGTAGGGTGATACCCATCTCACCGAAAGGAAACCGAAATGCGTGTAACTCCGGTCTCCAACGCTCAACAAGAGAAGTGATTAGACCATGGTCTAATCGGATAGGTTGCACACGGTGCACTCCATAAAACCCTGACCGGTGCAACATTTCATAAACTCTATCATCATGAAAAACCTTTGGAAGACTACCTTCGTAGCGAACCGGAGAGACTTCGTTGTCTATAAAATCCGGGTTATGCCACACTTCACGCGAACGATGTGTAGCATGTAAAGTAAGAATGTCTCTTGATCTAGGACCAGCTATTTCTTTCTCAGGGTCATACATTATGCTTCAAAAAAATTTCTACTGAACTTCTATCAACTCATAGTACAATAAAATGGTTAAAAAAATATCTTGTTTAAAAAAATATGCATTACATATTGTAAAATTAAAAAAAATATGCATTACACATTGTAAAATTTTTAAAAAAAAATGCATTACATATTGTAAAATTAAAAAAAATGCATTACATATTGTAAAATAAAAAAAATATGTATTACATATTTAAAAAACTTATAAAGAATTATTCTAAGAAAACATACCTCAACATCTTGGATGATTATGAAAGAATAGATAAATTTTGAATATTTAGTGAGAGAAGAAGAGAAAGAATATGAGATGTAGTTGAAGAGATTATGTATTTTGTCTAAAGAGAAGAAAAAGATTTGATTATTTGTAGTAGAATTGGGAGGGGTAGTAGTTGAAGTGATTAGGTTTGGAAATAGGGAGGGGTTGGAGTGTGAAACAGAGAAGAGGGAGAGGAATCACTGCGCACGCACTGTGCGGCACTGTAGATAGGTACTGTAGCTCCATTATTACACTGAAATGGCTTTTGGAAAGCCGAAAAAAACTAAATTAAAAAAAAAGAAAACGGCTTTATGAAAGTCAAAAACAAAAAAAAATAAAAAAAAATAGGATTGTCAAAAGCCGATTTTCCCTGTCAGGAATTTACCTTTCCCACCTGGGAATTATATTTAAAAAACCTTCCCTCTTAGGGAAACCACCCTGTTGACTTGGGGGTGATGGAATTTTTTGCATTTTTAATAGGCATTAAATGGACCAACTTGGGTATATTTGTCAATAGATCCACTAACGGTTTTAACCGTTAATTAATGGACTTGTGTTCTCTTAAATGAGATAAATGTTTTTGATAATTTATACGCAAAAAATGGTAGAGGGTGAATGAGAAATTGATTCTCAAAGCTAACCCGTTAATAGAAGAATATTGTAAGGATTGCAATTTTTGCAATTTTACAGAACCAATATTCTATTATTATTTTTACGTATTGTTTAAAATTAGTCCATTTTTACGAAGTTAACTAGTCATTAATCTCCAATTATTCGGGACAAATTTTAAACGGAGCGTAGCGTAACAGACGTGTTAATGGTTTATTAATCACCATTAACACGGCATTAAGTGTGCCACAAATGCCATGGTTCAATACTACTCCCTCCGTCCCGTTTTAAAATGTCTGTTTTGACTTTTGGACATATTTAAGGAAAAGAAAAAATAGAATTGATTTTCCGAAATTGTCATTACTTTTTAGGAGGGATGACGATGAATTAGAAGATAAGGTGAAGAAGAGTAACTTATTTTAGGGGTAGTTTAGGTATTTTATTTTTAAAAGTTTACGATAACAACTAACAGGCAATTTATTTTGGGACGGAGAAAAAAGGCAAACAAGCAATTTAAATTGGGACAGAGGGAGTAAGAATTAATTGTGTATATGTTACACTTTTAAAATTGCTTTGTTATAAAAATAAATCAAGGGGCTCTCCATTTGTGTGTGTTTATGCGTGAGGAAGACGGAAAAAAAGGAAAAAAATTTTCTTGTTTTTAAGAGAGAGCTCTTGATTTTCCGGCCGAATTTCCGGCAATCCCTTCAACGTTTTGGTCGCCAACGTTCCTACGTTGTTCTTGTTCGTTGGTGTGTGGTTGGTCCGTACAGTTTCCACACACGATAGCGGTTTTATCTTGGGAGGAGAGTTCCCACGTTTTTCCGGTACGGTAGGCGGGCACTACTACCTTAAGGACAGCTCTGCCGACTCCGTTGTCCTTCCATGGTGTTTTGTTTTGCAGGTTCAGTTCATAACGACCTCGCTGCATTCTGCCCTAGGCCATAATGTCTTCACTAGTGATCTGGTTCAAGCCATAATATCCTCGCCACTGCCTCAGTGACCTCGCTGCGTCTCACTGCCTCTCACAGTGTCTTTGTCCCAGACTTTCTGCTTCAGCCCAGTGCATAATGTCCTCGCAGTCCAGTGCATAATGTCCTCATACAACAAGACTTTTTGAAGATCTAGAAATTTATTTTCAATTTAATTTATTTTGTAATATTCTGAATAAATTATAAATTCAGAATTTTATTTATTTTTATTTTCCGGGGCCGTTCATCTTCCCCGTCCGTTGTAATTTGTGCAATAATTGTAACAGGGGGTTGGTGGAGTGAATGAGGGAAGTACATTTTGGGAAAGTCAACCATATTTTTACTTTATATAAATTTGAGTGCCCCGTCAAATCGGGAAAGGATAGATTGGGAAAACCGCAAACCAAATTGAAATTGATCAAAATGAACTAGAAAAAAATCAAATAAAAAAAACCAAAATTGAATCGAATCGCTATTGTGTGATTTCTATCTGTTTTGGTTTTCACTTTGAAAAATCGAACCGAATCGAATAAACCAAACTTCTTAAATATTTGACTTTATGTATATATGTATATGTGATATGCAAAAAAAGTATAGAAATATAAATGCAAATAATTTATTAATTAATCGATTAAAGTTATTTTTCTTAACTATTAAACAATTTTAATCATATTATAAACTTTAAAAAAATCTAGAAATTTAAACACCAACAACTAATCTCAATACGAGTTATATTAATATAAAAATTGATACGAGTAATTTACATATTTACATGAGAAGTTTTGATGCTATAATGTAAATGAAAGTATTTTACCAAAATAAATAAATTCTATGTATATGAATAATATGATATTTACATACAAAATCTTTGAGAGTATTTGAAATATCCTAGATGTTTGTTGGGCACTCGATACATATTTTTTTTATGTAAATCTGAATCGAGTGAAACTATAACTTGTTCTTCGATTTTTGGTTTTGGGTAAAAAGCGAATCGAAAAAACCGAACCCAACTCTACATCATTTAAGTGCGTCATCGAGTTAGTGTTGATACAATTTTTTTTAATGCTTATAAATTTTTATTTTTAAAAATTGAAGGAAGAGTAAAAATCAAAATAAAAAGCGTATAAAACTAAGCCGAATATCAACCGGTTTACATAATTTTTGTGTAAAACCAAACCGAACCAAACCACCAACTTACCATCTGTTTGTCTTTGATTTGGGTGAAAATCGAACCATCAAACCCGAACTCACTCCTAAAACTGGGAAGATAAAAGTTGGGCAGAGGGAGCATAAAAATAAAAATGTTTTAAAATTATGTTTCAAAACTATTGATATCAAATTTATATGGATGATATAATTCAATGTATTTTTTCATAATTCAGAGTCAAAGTTTAAAATTTGGACGAAAGAAACAAAATTAGAAAGAAAATTTTGGACAGGGTATTAACGACAAACAAAAATATTCCACTAGCAGATAAGAGTTGTTAGGCCCCTACTGCAAACAAATGGAAAGGAAAGAAAAAGAGCACACAAAATATTTAACGTGGTTCGGCACCTCAAGACCTACTCCACGACCCCCTCTGGGATATAATCTCACTAGTAATTTTTGCAAGGAAAAATTACAAACCCTCTCCAATATTTGACACTCACAACCTAAAATCTAATACATAATTATATAGATTGAAGGATTGTGTTGTGTGTTGGAAGCCTATACACCCTCTCTATTTATAGGCTCCCATCCCTTCTCAATTTTTCTATCCCACCGATGTGGGACTTTGAAGTAACACTCAACAAATCTCCCCTTAATTCAAAGTCCTACATCATTTGCGATTTCTGTAGCGATACTCCCATCTTGCAGAATCTTCTGTCCAGCAGTACTCTTATCTTCAGAAGAGATCATCTTCATAAGTGATCACATTTGCGGAAGAAGCTTCCTTTGATTTGCCCTTCTTCTCCTTTAGGATCTGCAAGTCCTCCTTGAGTTCCGGACAACCGTTCTTCGTGTGACCCAACTTTTCACAGTAATAGCACCTAACAGTGCTCATGTCTCCCAGCTGAGATCTTCTCCCAAGTTGGTCACTCTTCTTCTTCCTTCCTTTCTCAACACTCAGAGCAGCTAGTAAATGACTGTCCCCGGAAGACTCTTCACCTCCCATCATCCTTTGACTCTCCTTTAAGGCAGTCGTCACCTCATCTAGTCGCAGTGTAGTTCTTCCTGCTATCATTGACTGCACAAACGGTTTAAAGAATTTTGGTAGTGAAGCCAGTAGAAGCAGCCCTTGCTCTTCATCCTTGATGGTCTCCCCTGCATTTAACAGCCTTGATACTTGCTCGTTAAACTTGTTGATGTGATCAGTTACGCTACCTCCCTCTTCCATCTTCAGTGAGTACAAGTCCATCCTCATCATCAACCGGTTAGTAAGTGTCTTCGACGCAAACTTGCTCTCCAACGTTTCCCACGGCTTCTTTGGTGATGTCTCTTTCAGCACAGTCACTTTAATCTGTGGGGACAGTGCTAACCGAATTGTGCTGACAGCCTTCTTCTGGATTGTACTCCACTCTGATTCTTTCATATCCCTTGGCTTCTCATCTTGCAATGCTAATTCAAGACCTTGCTGGACCAAATAGTCTTGAATAGTGCATTGCCACAACATGAAGTCCGTTCTTCCATCAAATAACGGAACTTCAAACTTCAAGGTAGCCATAGTTCCACTCAAGCAGCAATCAACCAATACCAGACAATCCAATTTTTGAGGAAACTGGCCTCAAAAATGGAATCAAGACGTCAAAATTAGTCAGAACCAACTTCTCTTCAAAAATCACCAGCGGGACCCACATAATGACTGGACATGCTGATGTGGCGCTGACTAGATGATGACGTGGCACTCGAACCCACAAACTGCTGGCGTGGCACTCACGGACCCACCTTTGCTGACTGGACCACCACCTCCTCTGCTGAAGTGGCACTCCCTCCTCTTGCTCCTTCCTCTATCTCCTTCCTCCCTAGACTGCAACTCTGTAATTAATAATTTTTTTCTGATGTGGAAGATCAGTCAAAGCTGCAACCACAGAGCATACTAAGAATTATAATTACCAGATCACCTTGGCTCTGATACCACTTGTTAGGCCCCTACTGCAAACAAATGGAAAGGAAAGAAAAAGAGCACACAAAATATTTAACGTGGTTCGGCACCTCAAGACCTACTCCACGACCCCCTCTGGGATAAAATCTCACTAGTAATATTTGCACGGAAAAATTACAAACCCTCTCCAATATTTGACACTCACAACCTAAAATCTAATACACAATTATATAGATTGAAGGATTGTGTTGTGTGTTGGAAGCCTATACACCCTCTCTATTTATAGGCTCCCATCCCTTCTCAATTTTCCTATCCCACCGACGTGGGATTTTGAAGTAACACTCAACAAGAGTATATACAAGAATTGAGATTATTGGTCACATGCAAATTTAGCATGCAATTTGTGCTTTATTTATGTATTAATAACTCGCAACAAAAACATACTCGATCGGTGACTACTAAGCTAATTAGGGGCACCATGAGTTCCAAACCACTAACTAATTAAATACCAACATCAATCTAATGAAAGAGCTAAGCTAACTAAATGACACAACCAATTCAAGACACCTAAAATAACACAAACCACCAATGAAATCAGGCACAAACCGCTTCAACCGCCAACTTCTTCTTAATTTGGGCATCACAACTGTTGGCTTGATCCCCAAAAAGACTACCATTAACCGGCACCATACACGATTCCTTGCCTTTGCACGCGGTTGTGACGATAGTAAGCGCATCCTCACTAGCGCCACAAGTGGGCTTGAAATCCCCGCAAGGCCCGACCGTCTCTCCGTAGTGAGCGTAGCGAATTTCGGAGATGGATCGTCCTTGACACGTTATCTTCATGACCTTGTTCTCGTAAGCATTTGCACAAACACTCCCCACCCTGACTGTTTGGAAGCTCACATTGGAAGGGTTTCCTCCTAATTCCTCGAAAAGAATCAATTCGTTGTTGTTGTTGTTGTTGCCGTCCCTAAGGAACGACCGCGGAACATGGTACCATCTCTGAGTGGGTTGACCACAATTTGTGACACATTTTTCATTGGTATAAGATCCTCTATAGTCACAAGGCTCCAATGAACAACCATCCTCCTCGGCCAAATAGCTTGGCCAATAACGACCCAAGTTGTTGCCATTAACCCATGCAATCCCCTTGCCTAAGCCCAGTAAGTCCACTACAACTGGATCACTTCCCAATGGAGCCGAGAAAGTTGTCTAATTCACAAAAACACAAACAAAGAAAAAATCCAATAAGTATAGCTAGACACGCATACCAAACAAAAAATAACATCATAGACTATATATGTATGTATACCTTGTACCAAGTCATCTTTGTGTTAACGGGAAGATTTTCGGATTGCCATTGAGAAGCAAAACGAGATTCGTTGCTGAACAGTTTCAGGGATTCACCGTGAAGGCCAACCTTATAAGACCATTTGTGGGAAGAGAGGTCCTTGGTGATGGTCTCGTCCCCATTTCTCCCCACAATCTCAACCGGACCAGATATGCCAGTCCCCGCCATGTCATAAAAAGAACCATAATTTTGCAAACCAACCGTAGAGCTGAGGATTGAGATTTGGTTACTCCCGCGTTTGAACTTAATTTTGTCGGTCTCGAAGCTAGAAGCGTGAATCCCATAGGTTGTCCAATTAGAATCGACGTACTCCCCATTCACATAAAGGTGCACCACATGACCGGTGTGGTTGATCCTAAGGCTCATGTCATCACTCCATATCGGGTCCTTGTCACTTAATTGTACACTACATACATACATTATAAACACAAATTTAATTTGTTACATACTCCATTAAGAATAACTAATTAATACGGAGTATATAGTTACCTATTTATTAAGCTAATTAATTAAGAGATGAAGAAAGTATATGTATTAGTAGTATAAATTATACCTTATCATGTACCACATGTAGTCAGTGGCATCGTTGGCGATCTTCTGATCAAGAATTTGATTGGTGGAGAAATCGCCTTTGCCGATAAGGGAGTCGTCGGTCTTCTCGGGCCTCCAAGACCATTTGAGAGGAGAAGACCGCTTCTCCTCTTCGGCGGCGGCATTAGGGGGCAACCCTTTGACCATCACATTAGTTTGAGTGTTGACCTGGGCGGTGTTGAAAGCTTCGGCCTTGCAGTCGGGGAGGATGCTAATAGACCAAGCAGGAACTTGGTACTCAACTCCTCCGTAGCTAATGGTGCCATCGCTCGTCTCATTTCCGTTGCTCAAGAAGCAAGTACTTGACGTATCATTCAGCCCATACACCGTGATCTATAACGTAACGGATTACAATCAAACAAAATATCAAAACTTTTTTTTTTTTTTAAAAAGCAACTTATTGTACATTCATTTTTTGCGCATTTAAAATATCTAAAATGTACCCAAAATAAGTTCTACTCGTAATAAAGGAGAAATATGGTGAATTTGATACATTACAGATATGTATAGAAGTGTATTTAGAGACAGAGGAAGTATATTATTTGTACGTACCTGAAGTGAATTGTCCAAATTAGTAGTGGTGATGTTACCAGTGGTGAGAGCTTTCTCGACAGAGTGAAGAACATCATGAAGTTCCTTGAGATGCCCATATTTTGGTTGTTTCAAATTGCCTACGATACATACAAATTTAACCCCATATATTATATTATATATATAGTCATCCCATCTTTGAAATAACTTATAGCTTCCGGTTACTATTAATAATTAGCTAGGCTTTTATCATTCAAAAGTGAAAATATTTTGCAAGAAAAAAATTACCATATTCATCAATTGGGGCATCATAGTCATAGCTTGTAGTGATATATGGACCACCGGCAGTACGACCAAAATTTGTTCCTCCATGATACTACAAACAAAAAAAATGACCAAATAATTGTTTAATTAAATACAAATATACTAGTAATTATTTGGGAAAAAATTAATGATAGGGATTGGGCGCAAACCATGTAATAGTTCTGAAAAGTTCCGCCAGTTTGGAAAAATCTAGCAACAGCAAATGCAACGTCCTCGGCGGTTCTATACGGGTCTTTCCCGCCCCAATTCTTGAACCTTAATCATTTCAATTGATATGGCCCAAATTAAATTTAATTGATTCCATTTATTTGTCACACACACAACAAACCTTCTAGAATTAATTTGAAGTTATAAAGATTTTATTAGATTTTAAACTTACCATCCGGTCCAGTTCTCCGTCCACATCTTCGGAGTTGTCGGATTTTTGGGTTTATATTGGTCGCAGTACCAACCGTTGCATGTCTCAAGCTGCACGCACGTACAATATGCCATGTTTTAAGTCAAACATAATGATGGATTTTGATCTTCAATTAAACAAAAAATGTGTAATACTTTGATTTTTGGGTGAGTTGGAGGTTTGCTCCATCCATTTAGATTTTGATTTATTTAACAAAATACGCTTTATTTTTAAAAAAATTAAATAAAATTTGTAATGTATATTAGTATAAAAATGATTTTATTAGATTTGTCTTGTCAAAAATTTCAAAATTTTATTTAATTATATATATGTATATGTATATGTATATTAAGAATAATTGAATTTCAAAATTTGTGGAATTTAAATTAAAAAAAAGTCAAATTAGAGAAATACATTTATACCAGTGATTTTTTTTGTCAATGATCTTTAATGAATTATTAGATGGAGAGTGTATAATGATGATTAGAAAAATGCTAGGGGTACACCAAAAGGTGTACCCCATTTGTCTCCCACCCCTTCTTTTTGTCCACATAATTGTGCATGAAAATAAAAAAAATCAAATAAAAATGAGTAATGGAGAAGAGGGTGATGTACATTTGGGGTACACTTTTGGTGTACCCATAGCATTGCTCTGATGATTATGATGATGGTACGTACCATGGGAGGAGGGGCATCCTTTTGTTGGCACATGATCCAAGGGACACCAATGTCAAGGGAGGTGGCAAAGTTGGCACACCAATCCAAATATGCTTTTCCAGCAGCCCCATAAGGAGCATTCACATTCCCATACTCATTCTCAATCTGTGCAAGAATTATTGGTCCTCCTTGTGATGCAAACAGCTCCTCCTTTTTCACCATATCCACTATCATCGTTGTAAAATTTTGCATTGCTCCCTGATCATCATATCATATCATATTAATTACACACACACAACACTTTCACATCATATATATCTCTTATTACGTTCCTATATATATATAGTGGCGGATCCAGAAATTCTGGAAGATGGGGGCACAATTGGCTGGGGTAGCGCTCTTGATTTTTTTTATAAAAAAAAAGACAATTTGAAATGACAAAAATAATAAATTTTATTTTAAACATTTATTGAAGGTAAAATTTTATTTAATCAATAATGTAAAACTTTATTTTAAACAATAAATTAAACACAATAAAATACACTTGACTTCAATAAGATTAAACAAAAAATTAAAAGTTAGCTTAATTAAATAAGGTTCCAATCATTTTTGTAGGGAGTAAATAATGTGAGATGGGGTCAATCCTAATTTTAGATGGGGGCATGCAGCCTAAAATATAATAATTTTTGTTTTTAAAAAAAATTAATTGTTTAACACCAAAATTTAGTTGGGGACAGTTGCCCCCAATTGAAAGGGAGTAGATCCGCCCCTATATATATATATATATATATATATATACACACACACACACACACACACACACACATATATATAGATATATGAACATACATACATATATATATATATATAGATATATGTACATACATACATATATATACATACATACATACATACATACATACACATATATATTATATATATATATATATATATATATATATATATATATATATATATATATATATATATATATATATATGTCTCCATTTGCCCCCAATTGGACTGAATTTGTAATTCATTTATACATGATATAAATAATATTGCCAATTACACACACCGTTTCGAATACATGATCTAAGTAATTTTAATTTTATGTTCCTAATGTACCAAATTTGAAATAAATAAAAAACAATATTTCATTCAAATATACTAAACAATTTTTTTAATTTTTTTGGCAGAGATAGCAATAATTAAACACAGTATTTTATTTCCAGACCAAAATACAATTAGAGAAGTTTGTTGCAATTTATACTCCGTATTAGTTATCATGACTTACCATATAAACATCATTAGCCGTACGCAGCTGGGTTACACCAGGTAAATTATGCAACCAAACAGGGAAACCTCTGCATTCATTCATTTGACGATATATTTTTATTCATATAGATAGATATAAGTCATATAACAACCACAATTACAATAATATCAATAATAATAGCATTCTGAAAAAATGATCATCAAAATTAATAATAATAATGTGACAAATATAATACCGGAGTATATGGTAAAAAAGAGGGTAGGGTACTACATACCCATAGTTCCACTCAGCACAAACATAGGGACCGATGCGAAGAACGACGTAGAGGCCAGCATCTCGTGCGGTTTTGATGAACCTGACCAGATCATGGTTCCCAGAAAAATCAAACTGCCCCCGAACCGGCTCATGCGCATTCCAAAACACGTACGTCTCGATGGCATCTAGTCCCCCTTCCTTTGCTTTCTTCATCAAATCCGGCCACATCTGTAATTCCCCCGTACGTCAATAATGCATGCCAAAACAAAAACAACAATCTTATACACTAAAATGTACGTACGGAATATGAGGAATTTACGTAAATAGCACTAAAACATAATATTTCATATATTAATGCCCATCATGATCATCAAACTATATGTATATACCTCGGCGGTGCTACGAGGATAATGAATGGCGCCGGAGAGAAGAAGTCTGGGTATGCCGTTGATGGTTATGGCTCTTCCATCGTGGCTCACTTCTATTGATGACGACGAAGAAGATGAAGATGAAGATGAAGCCACACGGCTTAAATCGTTCATCACTAAAAGTAGTACTGATAAGGAGATGATAAGTTTCGAGTACTCCATGACCTGTAATTAAGGTCAGGTCTTGATCGATGATGATGAGTAACAGTGGTGGAGTGATTTGAGTGAGAACTAATTACGTAGTGATGAGAGTGAAGGGTTTATATATAGTCTTTATATAGTATTGCTGAGTATGGAATTTGTTGCAGGGATAAAGATAAGTACGGAATATATTTTGTTTTTTACTCCCTCCGTCCCATTTTATAATGTCTGTTTTGGTTTACGATGTTTGACTGAAATTATTTTCAAATCATTTTATATGACAAATGGTATATAGTTAAAAAATAAAAATTACATATTAAAATACTATATCAAAAGATCTACAAAACTAGTAGTGACAATAATCCTTTATTTTATCAATTTTCTAACAAAAATTGAGAAAGAAAGTGAATGAAGTTTGACCCTGTGAAAAGTAATAAAGCATTATAATTTGGGACGGAGGGAGTATTTGTTTCTTTGAAAATTTTGAAACTAACTACTCCCTTTTCAAGATAACTTATTTGCATTCAATAATAAATTTAAAATACTTAATTATCGACATATTTGACCAATTCGTGCATTTCTTTTTTTTTTAGCAGGTATTATCGATTGACTTATTCCTATTTATTTTTTTCTTTTGACTATTGGATATGGATGAGATAAGAGTGCTATTTCAAATTTTCTGTTAAGAAGATATGATAAGACCTTTGAAATTCGGAATAATCCAAATGATATATTTGACTTGCTCATAAACTCTTCACTAAAACGATATACTCGTAAAACTTTTTAATTTTCACATCTTACTTGTTCTATAAAATACTTAGAAAAAAGAATTAATGTATGAGTAAAATATTGAAAATATATCAAAATAGAACTTCCATATTTTTATTTTCGAAATAGGTGTAAAATACATTTATAGGACCAAATACGGTCGTGTACATTACCAAAAAATACAGTAATGTGCACATGTATAGTACCACATTACCACAGTGCAAAGTTCTATTTCGAGAATAAAAACATGGAACTTCTATTTTGGTACTTAGCTTTTTCTATGTTTTAGTCTTATTTAGGGTGATTTCTAAAACCTTTCAACTAGGGCTAAATAAATACAATTTTCTTTACTTTTCTTAAATCTAACTGAACCTACCTTGACCAACTTCTACGCCTGCCTATTTTAATATTTCCTGAGCCCTACTCGTTTCAATTGTTGTCATTTCACCTCGATTAAATTTTTATAGTTTCTCTTTTCAAAAGTCAAAATAAAAAATGTTTTGCGGAACGAAACAAGTACGTATTTTATACTCTATCCATCCTAAAAAGTGAAATTTGCATTGAATAGGACTAAAACATAAACCACTTTTCAATGTAGGATTTAAACTTTTTTATTCCCTAAATAGTACTTTATAATGACTAGTGAGAAGAATAATGTCCAAGTGATGCTTGACATTTAGTTGAATAATGACTAATAGAGAATGACCAGTGGTCCTACATTGAGAAATAAAAACATATGGTCTTATATTGAGAAAGCCATTATGTTTTAATCCTATTTAGGTAAATTACTTTTCTAAAAAATGATTCCTAGTTTGACATAGTGTAAAAATAAGAAAGTGTTAAATTGTAATTGAGTTCTAACTTTGCCCTTAATATGATGGGTACGTAAAAATAATATGTGATGGATAGATTATTAGAGAAAAAATATGATATGATATGTAGGGTATGAAAAAATAAGTTTCATACCCATGTACAAAAAAGAAATGCAGTTAATTTGTTTAATACTCCCTCCATCCCCGAAAGAACTTCCCCTTTCGTTTTTTCTTTGTCCCCAAAAGAACTTTTTTTTTTCTATTAAAAAACCACTTTTAACCCTTACTTTTTCATACCCTACCTATCACATCATACCTTTTTAATAATAATCTACATATCACATCTTACTCTTACACATCACATCAAGAGTATTTTTGGAAAGTTAATACAAAAATATCACTTTCTGAAATCCTCAAAAAGTCAAAAAGGGAATTTTATTTGGGGACGCAGGGAGTAAGTTTCAAGAGACAATGTGGCATTATTTGGATATTGTCTGCTTAGTGAGCAATCTCTTTGTACTTTTTGTTTACTTATTATATATGCTTTGGGTTTTGATGGTTGTTTTCAAAAGTGTTCAGGCAATTTGCAAGCAAGTAAAGTAGATATCAGCACCTATTCAAGGTTCACCTCCTTTTTCAAAACACCCTTTCCATACCTTACCGTATACTTCCTCCGTCCCACTCTCTTTGTCCACTTTTGACTTTTGAAACTGTTCATCTAAGCACTTTGACTCATCAAATTCTCTCAATGTGTAAGCCTAAATATAGTCATGTGTGATCTTGTTTGATTTGTCTTAACATATAGATTATTAATATATAATTTCTATAATTTTTTAATATACAAATTACAAGATAAAATGGATTAAAGAAGTGCATTGGATGGTGTGCAAAAATGAAAGTGGACAAATATCCTGGGACGGAGGGAGTATNTACTTCCTCCGTCCCACTCTCTTTGTCCACTTTTGACTTTTGAAACTGTTCATCTAAGCACTTTGACTCATCAAATTCTCTCAATGTGTAAGCCTAAATATAGTCATGTGTGATCTTGTTTGATTTGTCTTAACATATAGATTATTAATATATAATTTCTATAATTTTTTAATATACAAATTACAAGATAAAATGGATTAAAGAAGTGCATTGGATGGTGTGCAAAAATGAAAGTGGACAAATATCCTGGGACGGAGGGAGTATATTCCACTTAGGAAAAAGAACTGAAAATGGAACCAGCATTGAAGTGGGCAGGTAATCCCAACATCCTTGTTGCAATCAAGGCATTTGGGCTTAAAAGCCACTACCTAGGTACTTTTTTCATTGTAAAAAAAGCTTAAATATGAACATGAATTACTCATATTTTTTAACATTTTTTTCCTGCGATGTCAGACAATTTTTTTAAAGAAATATTTGTACTAAATAGCACTAAAACTTAAGTCATTTCCCTAAATAACACTTAAACTGTTTTATTTCCTAACTAGCACTTAATAATATCTAGAAGGAGGAATAATGTCCAGTGATGGCGAACCTTAATAATGACTAATGGATAATAACTGGAAATCCTACATTGTGGAAAAAAATACATATGATCGATGCTATTTATGAGCTAGACTCCATTAAATATTACTACCTCCGTCCCAGAGTATTTGTTCTCTTTCATTTTTACATACTATCCAATACACTTCTTTAACCATTTTATCTTGTAATTTGTATATTAAAAAATTATAGAAATTATATATTAATAATCTATATGTTAAGACAAATCAAACAAGATCACACATGATTATATTTAGGCTTACACATTGAGAGAATTTGATGAGTCAAAGTGCTTAGATGAACAGTTCCAAAAGTCAAAACTGGACGAATACTCCGGGACGAAGGGAGTATTTGACATGTAATTAAACTTTTATTTTTTTTATCAAAAATAAAATTATTAAAAATAAATCTTTTTAATAAATTTTTTATATTAAATTCTTAAGAATAAAAGTGTTCAATAATCCTTAATATAAACTGATTAAACATTTATGTTTAGAAAGTTCATATATGCATTATTTATGTGGCTTTTTACACATTATATGACACCTAATTTAAGACATAAAATATTAAAAAACTATTTTGGTATGAAATCTTTGAATAAATTTAATAATATAATATTTATATTCAGTTTTATAATAATACTTTTTCATGATTCAGTATTTTTTCTTCATTTCTAACAAAATTTTCAATTACTTAATACACTACTTTCTTCGCTTATAAATAAATTTCACATGATTCTATGTTTATGATAAGTTAAAATGAAGTTAGTTTTGAATATATTTCTTTCAATATTGATACTCCCTCCGTCCCAAAATATTTGCCACACTTGCTTTTTTAGCAGTCGCGGGAACTTTTGTTAATTTCTACGTTTTCATTGGTTATTTGATAAAATAAAATATTCTTGACACCTCTTAAATTTGTAACTTTTTCCCCCTTTAATGTATTAACTTTTAGCATGGATATATTAAGCATTTACATACTTTTGTATAGGTTTTTTCCAAAAATGCCCCCCATCTAAACCCGAAAACATAAAAGTTTTGTCTTTTCCAGTAATTGGGCAGTGTAAACGGTGGGCGGGCGGCCTGCTCACTGGTGATAAATGACTGACATACCCACAATTAACATGTCATGCCCGATCGAAAAGCACAACTGCTAATGAAGCGACATGTAAATGTGGCCAAATAAGAAAACAATTGATGAGTAACAAATTGAATAACCAATCGAAAAACGGACTGAATTTCGATTCAAAAAATAATTGAAAAAAACTCTAGACGGCTATTGAAAAAATATACCTAGGCCAATTTCTAATTGAAGGTAGCGGCTAATGAAGCTCAACATCATCTCAAATTCCGTGAAGCTATTTAGTCTTCGAATCACATACCAGCAACCTTTCTACTCCTACCGGCATCCTTCTTGCAATCCCAATCGCTAGATGCTGAGTGGAGATGTTGAGATACCGAGATTCTAAGTGTGGAGGGGGAGCTGATGATGATGAGACGATCTCAAGAACGACGATGGTTACAACTTTGATCCCTAAATTAGATCTAGGTTTTGAGGAGGGGAATTGAAAGAGAGACGAAAATCCTTGCAACCACACCAAAATATTTTATTCCCCAAAGGCTTTCAAACAAAACATAAATTTTAAAAAGACTTTGAGGTGTTTACTTTTAAATTTATATATAAGCATTTTTATAACCAATTATTAAATGCCAAATTATTTTTGTTACTTTGATTTTAATGTCTACAAAGTTAAAGAATGCATTACATATATTTCCATACTCATTTAAAAAATATTACATTGAAGGTAATTCAAAAAATCAATAAAATTTTGTTCTACCCCGTGCGTGAGACGGGTTAAATTACTAGTATTACTAGTCTTTATATATAAAATTTGAGAGTTAGACTTCTAGCATTGTGACACGTGGCATGCTTGTTAGACATTTTTTTGACATGTCAGCATGCCATGTCATCAAGTTATATTTAAAGAATTAGTTAACAAAAAAACTTATTCTATGAAAATTAAAGTTCATATTTGTTACACACAAATTTTTCAGCAAAATCGCATTTAAAAACTTTTATATCTTAATTCATTGTTGGAAAATATTTAAATTAAATAATATATTTTGAAATTGAAAAAAATAACTCATATTCAAAAACAATAATCAAAACAAATAAATTTATTCAAAGAACGGATAGATTGGTAGGACTAAAAGAAATTACATGTGAATATTTGTTTTTACTTTGAATAAATGATAATTGGAGAGATTTTCTAAGTTTGAAAAAAGAGAAATAAATATATAAAGGAAAAGGGATTTTATGGGAATCTTAATTTAATAAAGAAATAATTTCTTTGTATATATTACAAAATTCTAAGTCAAATAAAAAATATGTTCCATTTTAAAATTAGTATTTTCCGTTTTTAAATTATTATTTTATGTACCAACTTTGTAAAAATTTATAGATTTTTGTCACAAAATTACTATTTTCCATTAATAATATTTAAAATAATGAATACTTAGTATGTGAGTATTTATGTGTAAGAAATTAATTATAAATTGGCGTTCCTAATCAAAATATTTATGGTATAACATTAATTGTTATAAGTTTAAATACTTTTAACTAAAGTTCTTGAAAATAAAAAACATGTCTATTTTGACATCTATGTCAAAATAACATAAATAAGTAATATTCTTGCTTATTTGTTTATCTGAATATCGACAACAATGTAACATATATTAGTGGATAATAGAACTTTTTATGTTTAAAGTTTTCAGATAAAAATATTTACATGATTCATTTTATGATGGTTATTACAGTTACAGAACGAGAGAGGTCGTAATCGGCTATAACCTCGCATCATCAAACATGTTCAAGAAAAGAATGTACTCTGTGATGTGAAAAATGCTATTTTTATTATTCTGAATTAAATGTTTAATTTTTCCAGTAATTTTTTCCAAAAAAATCTATACAGTGCTCCAATCCGGGAATAATTACACACTTCATCGCACTTTCAAGTGCATAAGAGACAGAAGAGAATTGATCTATCTTCTATAACACATGTTTTTAATTTCTTTGAAGATAATAATAAAACAATTATCTTTGTGTATTAACAAATTTTATGTATAAGATATTATAAACAATGTAAGAAAATAATACGTAAATTAATATGGTGCACACACTCAAGGTTGAATTTACTTCTCCCAGGGCTAAATTTTGTAACCTTTAGAGATCAACAAAAGCTAAAAGATGTTGTCAAATAAAATATTGATAAAGCTTCAATATTTGAAGCTTGGATGGTTTCTAATACACTATATAATGCGGGATAAAATTTGACGTATTCAAAGAATTTCCAGAATTTTTTGTGCACAACCACAAAGCGCGGAAATTGTTCTGATTCAACAAAGACCATCAATATGCAGGCTACAATATGTGCTCACACAAGAGATTTGTACTACTCGAGAGTACTACAAGTTATAAGAGCTTGAGAAGAGTTTACAATGTTCTACATAACACATTCGAGGAAGCATGTGAAACATTGGGGTTATTAACCGATGATAAAAAACTTATTGAAGGTATAAACGAAGTTGCTAAGTAAGGATTGGGGAATATGCTAAGAATCTTGTTCGTCCAAGTACCATGAGTCACCCACAAATTGTTTTGAAAAAATTATAGGAACTCCTAGTGGATGGAATTTTATTTGATCGAATGTGAATATTGCAGAATCAAGGTACTTGAATATAAAGATGGTTTTCTTACATATTAATCCATCTAAAATGCATTATATGAAAACAAAATTCATTAATTGAGCACTGCATAGAAAGAAATAATTCTTTTTTTGCAGAGCTTATAATCTCACGAGAAGACCTAAAGAATTTATGTCCAATTGAAATTGAAAAGTTACATAATTGGAATGGAAAGTCTTTAAAGAAATTTAGTGGCATGCGATTTGGAGATGACAATCAACTTAATAGGTATTAAAATAATTTCTTGGTAAAGGAGTTGAACTATTACAAAGAAAAACTGTCATTTGATCTTAAAGGATATTTATCTTCGATGAATGAAGATCAGTGGAATATATTTAATGAAATAATGGAAGTCGTGACAGCTGAAAGAAGAAGTTTCCTTTTTATGTCAAACTTGCCAAGGATGTCACATCTCTTGAAGCTAAAATATTTGAATTAAATAAAGAGATGGAAGTGTTAAAACTTGAGAATAGAAAACTTGGCAAAGTTAGTATTGATTCACCTTGTGCACAATGTAAAATTCATGAAAAGGAAATAGCTAGCTTGCATGAGCATCTAAGAAAATATAATAAGGCTAGTAAAGACATGCACTTTATAGTTCAACAAGGTCAATTTAATAAAAATGGCTTAGGTTATCAATCTAAAGGACCAAAGAAAGTTAACTTTGTAAAAGAAGGAGAAAGACCTTTGGATAGAACTAAGGCTAGGAATAATTCATACCAAAAATATAATAGTAACTCTAAGATGACTCAATCTAGAATAGTCAATACCCCCACTAATTATAGGATGAGAAAATCTAGTCAATATAAGAATCATGGTGTTCATAGGTTTTCTAGAGAACCTAGAAATTATGAGAATTTTAGGAATGCACCTAGAAAATTTAATTATCTTAGGACACATAGAAAGTCAACTAGTCCATATAGATATATGCATGATCCTAGGGTTACTTGCCATTTTTGTGATGTTGTTGGGCACATTGCACCTGTGTGTTTTAGGAAACTTAGAATGATTGCCAAGAATAGGAAAAGGGCACAGATTTATATTTATAATGCTAGAACTAACTCTCAAGGACCCAAGATGGTTTGGGTACCTAAAACCCCCAATTAAATAAATATTTCAGGTGTGCTTGAAGGCATCAAGTGTACTTTGGTACCTTGATAGCGGATGCTCCAAGCACATGACCGGAGATGCATCCAAATTTATTTTTCTTAAATCTCTCGATGGTGGGAATGTTATTTTTGGTGACAACAACAAAGGAAAGATTATCGGAACCGGAACTGTTGGCAAAGACAAAGAATCCGGAATTGATAACGTGTTGTTGGTCAAAGGTCTCAAGCACAACTTGCTTAGTATTAGTCAGTTATGTGACAAAGGTAATCGTGTTACTTTTACATCTAGTCATTGTCTGGTTGAACGCCTTTGTGATAAGAAAATTATCCTTACCGGCGATCGAATTAATAATATTTATATGATCAACCTAGATAATACTTCTTCTGATTTTGCTCATTGTCTTATTACTAGAGAGGAAGAAATGTGGCTATGGCATAAAAGGATTGGTCATACGAATATGGAACTAATTAATAAATTAGTTTCAAAAGACCTAGTAATTGGTGTTCCTAAACTCAAATTCGAAAGGGGAATTTGCGATTCATGTCAAAAGGGTAAACAAGTAAAAACTTCTTTCAAATCAAAGAAAGTTGTTTCTACTTCTAGACCATTGCAGCTTTTGCACATTGATCTCTTTGGACCTTCTCGAACTATGAGTTTAGGTGGTAATTACTATGCCTTGGTTATTGTTGATGACTACTCTCGTT